CATAAAGATATAATTTAAAGCCTCGAAAACAAGGAATTGACATTTTCTTATTGTAATAGCATATAGTAATCTGAACTTCTTGGACTGCTTTTTTAAAGGACATGTTTTTCTTAGGATGTATTTTGGATTAAAGTAACTTAACCACTAAATAATGAGCTTTCACTGTATAGATAACAAAATATTTTTCTAAAGCAGTAAAGATTTACTATGCATGGCCTTAAAGGTTCTCTTAAAGGTCTCGAAGGCCATCTCTACAACTCATAGCAAGCCAGGGTCAGCGTTAACTACACTGTCCAGTCGTTTGCCCTCATTCTGATGGGATGACGCATTCCTGGCGGGGTTTTCAGAGCCCCACTGGGAGCTGTGTACCTGCTCACCCTGAGGAGCTGGCTGTGTGGACGTGCACTCTGTCACTGGGGCAAGATGAGAGGGGATGAGAAAAGTCGAGAAGAGCCACCTGTTGACCCCATGTACACCAGGACAGTGTCCCCGGCACTTTGGTGCCTCAGTGGGCTCATGTGGCCAGCACGGAGCCCCACCTGCACAGTGAGTTGGTTGACCTGCCACTGGGTCCCTCAGGTGCGCAACCTGGCCGTGCACAGCTGACCTGTCCCTGTCCAGCCCTGGTCCACGAGTCCCTGGGGCACAGAGTACATGTTTCGTTTCAGCATCCAGCCCAGGGTCTCACATACCATATGCTCAACAAATGTGGGTTGAAACAAATAAGCATGACAAGAAAATACAGTCTCTCCAAAAGAAATTATTAGTGAGTCTGAGACCAAAGTTACTGAGTTGCAATCACAAACTTATTTTCAAAACTCACTCTTCATCCTTTATGTCTCCCTTCCAATTCTGAGAGGCTGAGATTTGCTCACGGTCACTTGTCTAGTTCGTCTAGTTCCTAGTAGCAGCCTTCACTCATAATCCTCTGGGTGCTTCCTCTCCCCGGTGGCCCAGGGTCACTGCTACCCTCCCCCACTTCCTTCCCGGTGAGAATGCTGGGCCGCCTTCTTTCCTTGTGTTCCATCTTCCTTAGCTCAATGCCATGCTTTGTAATTATAATTTTTAAAAATTTATATTCTGTTGTGATAGGAAGGCTTAACACGAGATCTATCTTCTTGCCAATTTTATTTTGTCGTGTACAACACAGCCTTCCTGACTACAGACACAATGGCACTCTAGAACTTATTCATCTTGCTTTGCTATAACTTTATGCCAGCTGATTAGTAACTCCCCATTTCTACCTACCCGCAGCCCGACAGCCACCATTCCGCTTGAGCCCCTGCGTCTGATTACTTTAGGTAACTTAGGTTAAGTGAAGTCAGACAGTATTTGTCTTCCTGTGACTGTTTTATTCCCTTAGCATACTATTATCAAGATTCATCCATGTTGTTGCATGTTACATTTCCTCCCTTTAAAGGGCTGAGTAGGATTCCATTGTGTGGTTAACGCCATATTACTTTTTCTAGGCATCTGTCCGTGAGAAGCTAGGCTGTGTTTTTACACCTTGGCTTCCATGAGCATGGAGTGTTATTTATTACCTCTGAGATCCTCCTTTCAATTTTTAGATAAATACCCAGAACTGGGATTGCTGGACCCTGTGGTTAGTCTTTGAGGGCTTTCCATACTGCTTTGACGTTCCCATGAACAGCATGCAAGAGTTATGTTCCTTCCTTCCCCACACGTAAGAAAGCAAATTTGTACCCTTATCTTGCACCATACACAAAAATCACCTTGAAGAGGACTAAAGACTTAAATGTAAGACCTGAAACCGTAAAACTCCTAGAGCGTTGGAGCCAAACGCTGCCCTGGGTGATGTCTTTATGGATGGGTACCAAAAGCACAGGCCCAAAACCAAGAAAAATAAGCGAGACCTACATCAAGCTAAAAAGCATCCGCACAGCAAAGAAATGAATCAAGAGTGAAAAGCTAATGTATGCTACGGGAAAAAATACTTGCACATCATGTATCTGGTCAAAGATACCTATTTTTAATGTTGGCACATGTTACAAATATTACTATACAAGTTCAGATAATATATTAGGATATCAAGTTCAGATAATAATGAACACAAGTTAAAACTACTAAGGTAACAGCAGCTACCCTCTTTTTTTATCTAAATCCAATAGGTCTAACTACACGGTCAATGTTTAAATTGTCATGCAGAGAGGGAGCAAAGAAAAGCCTAGATAACAGAAATCCACATTTCATCCGAATCATAGTTTAGCAATTGCCCTCACCAGCATTTTAAAAGCCGTTAAATCAGAGGGCAAAGTTAGCTAATCTAGTTTGGCACCTTTCCCTTCCCTGGCTTACCAGCTGGCTCAGGCACCAACAGAGTAGAGACTAAAAAGCAGGTGGTAGAAGCAGAGCACGATTTGCTTCTGTCTTTAAAGTGCAAGAATTTTTTTGTAACTTCAATTTTTTTTCAATTATATTTCTCAGTTTGGATTTTGTGACAAGGCCCAGGAGCCTATTAATTTTAGACTTACAAATGCGATGTCACTGGCTTGAGTATTGTGCTCTATCCTACTCATCCAGTTATGAAAAAAAAAAAAAACAAAACCACAGCATTTATATGCTTAGAGAGTGGACAGGGTCTAGATTATGGCCTTTGACAAGAGGTAAGAAACTATGGAAACCCTGAAACCCCAGACTTGAAGGCAGAGACTGCAGGGCCAACATATATGTCCATAGGCTGCAGCCACCACCCTCACCTGGTTCAAGTAAAGACATCACCAGGTATTGCCCTAAAGGTCTCTGCAGACCACTTGGAGCGCTACTGAAGCAGCCCGAAGGCTGGCAGGGTCAAAGCCAGTAACCCTGAAGGAAGGAAGGCACAGAGCACCTTGAAAGGGAGGCTTTGTTGTGCAATGCTGGCTCTGATTCCCTCTGTGCCACTCAGTAACAAGTGTTTGAGTAAAGTACTTAACCTGAGACTTAGTTCTTCCCTCCTTTCTCCTATATAAAATTGTGGAACAAATATATCACACAAAAAGAACTATGTCTAAGAAAAACAAAGTGTGTCTAGCGATCATTTTTTCCAATTCTTAGTAAGTTATCACGGCAAGCAAATGATTCTAATGTGACGAGGAAAAAAAATTAAGTTGTAAAGATTCTATTTTCATAGCTGTTGGGGAGGCTTGGAAGGGACAAGGACTAGATAAACTAAAATTACAGTGAGAAAGTCTTTCCTGGGTTGTTTGCTGCCCTTGGGGTACTTACTAATTCTGGACCAAGGCTCAGAACTGGCTTTGACACTGCCCTCTAATAAGGGAAAGAGAAACCAGAAGAGTTTCTGCCAGTGATGTGAGGCTGAGGAAGCAGTGTGTAATCTAGAGGACCTGCAAGGAGAAACCTCAAAAACATGGGCAATTGTCTTTTCTTTTCCTCCCATGTATGATTACAAGCAGAACTAGGAGTCAACACACCAAATTCTTTTCATTTTTAAAATCAACCTTAGTTAGTGCCATGAAGTATCTTTCCAAATCATCAGCTTTCCTACCTGTGCAAGTCTTCTGTAACTTTGCTCACTTTTTGTCTGGTTATTCTATCAATTATTGATATCGGGTAGAAATCTAGCTCTTTAATTGCTTTTCGGAGAGGCTACTGACCACTTCACTTCCCCATAGCAAGAAGTCTTCTGTTTTTACTTAGCTTTTGACTTGCTAAATTCTCACTGCTGTGACATATTTTCTAGAAGGTTTAAAAATAAGTCTTATTCAACATTTGTTTTGTATTTTCAAGGGGAGGAGCAGTCAGATGATCTAGTCAGCTGTATGTAAGAGAGCTAGTACTATGTTATCCCACTTTTAACTACCTCCAACTCTAATGTGCTTGGTAGATTAGTCCTTCACTTCCAATTTGGATATTGTCTCTCCTTGGACCTATGACATAACATATTGTTGTAACAAAATATCAAACACATAGCCAGAGGAAAAAAATAATTGTAGTGAACCTCAAAACTGAGGTAATCATAAATTATGCTGCATGAAGTTCTTATTCTTAAAATCATAGAACTATTCACATTTGAGTGCATTAATTATTTGCTTCATGCAGTGCAAGCAGATAAGAGATAATGACTTCCCTTTCTGGAAAAAATCTATTCAATTGCTTGGCTGGCTTGCATTCCATACTTCACATTTTTCCTTTGCCATCACTTTGCTACCTTACATCTTCCCATGGCTTAGCCTGTCAGCCACCGATGCAGACAGCGTGGAATAGAGACCTGACATCGTCATCCTTTTACTTGTCTAGTTAGGCTCCTTCTTTATCTCAGTCTCGTTCTTTCCCATATTTATGAACAGAGGGCGGGAAGGTCATAGAGAATGATGTCGGACAACTGGAATGTGCTTAGAGGTGCCAAGGACTTAACAAAAGAGGAAAAATTAGGAGTGAAGGGTAGGGGAAACGTAGGGGATGTTCCAGAGTTGTTTCACTTGCTCACAGTTGTAGAAATGAGACAGTTTTTCACCAATCCTACTGGCCAGGGTAAGACCATACATACTTAAGAGATACAGAAAGTGCATTCAGATCAAAGTCATTAGATAACACCTGTCGAAAGTGGGTGGGTGCGGCCGAAGGAAGAGCACTGGCACAGTTGGTACTGTCCTACCTATGAGGCGTGTTCCTCTGTTGGCACAGAAAATCACCGTTGGTTGCAAAAACCATTGACTAAAACTGGCCAACGGCTTATTCCCATTTCACAATATTTTACTTAGTGGTTCTAGAGGGATGTATTGCTGCTGTTGTTGCATCCCCACTGACTTGAAAATTCCATAAAAATAACCTTGATTTTACTAAATTAATGGACTTTCACTTGACCTTATCACACTGTTCTCTAGAAAACAAGAAACAGAGAAAAATGTTTGGGCTGGTTATATATACATTTGAACTGGGGTGCAAGAGGAAGGAGAATTATTTCATTTTTACTGAGGCAAACTGCTGAACAAATAAATAAATAAAAGGAGTTAGAGTCTTTTAACTCTGTTTGTTCTTACCCAAGACATAAATCTCACTGTTGACTACAGCTGTGCTGAATCGGTACTTTGAGTATGTCATAGGTGCCTGCTCTGTCCACTTGTCTTGGCTGGGGTCATACCGCAACAGTTTGTTGCTTAATCGATCAGGTTCTTCATCAGGAAGATCCATCTGTATGAAATATGAGCCAATATTATCACACACCATGCAGAGATCTTCAGGGGTGCATAAATGCAATTAATCAAAGCAGCCGGCCAAGGAGGTAAGTAGGGTTAACGGTAGTTACGCGTTCATAAACACACCCAATCCCATGATTTGGGGTTATAAGCACACTGTCAGAATCAGAAGAATTTGTATTTTGTAATACTGAGGCTAAAGTGTCCCACCATAGCAAAAGAGAGATAGAGAGACAATTATAGCATTGGGGAAAAAAAGATACATTTAAACCAACTGCAAAGCCTAAAAATGAAACCAAGCTTTTAAAAATAAGTATTTAAAGTATAATTTCATTTTATCAAACTCTGTAGCACACAGCTGTAATAATATTTGTGAGAAACTAATGTGAATAATATATTAGGTATTTTTCTTCTTACAATTTCCTCATCCAGAGGAAAGAAAATTACAAAAACATTTTAGTGTTTTCATAGCGTAGTTTTACATGTAATTATAACGTATACAGGAATAATTTGAATTCAACTTTCAGGTTGCAGGGGTTAACAGGAATTATTTGCAGTTATTTCTATGCATTTATATATTGCATATATATACATGTTAATGACTAGAGATGGAAACCGAATGATGTATGTGGCTTCTCATAAACTTCAGCTGAAGCATTGCTTTTTGTCTACAATGCATCAAGGATTTTGATTTGAGGATGCTTAAGTGTCTTGTTTCTCTCCTTTGGATACAGGTATTCAGCACAGAAATACTTGCCACATTTATGAAAATTGTATGCCATTCAATGTGGCTGCATTAAGAGTTATATTCATAGGGTGCGCTTACAACTCCATGTCATTTTGCAATTTAACATAGCTACAGAATAGCAAAAGCGTTTTTATTCAATAAATATTCACATCACTTACTTAAAGACAAAAATGAACAAACATTGACTTTATTGTTTTCAGCAATAATTCCTATCTTAGTGAAAGAAAAGCTTCTAAGTTGTCTTTGCAGCTTATTCATGCCAAATTAACTATGCAGCGGATAGTTCTGATAAAGCTTAATTACATGTACTTTTTCAGACATCAGCTACTAGCTGTGATTAAATCTGCACTATTTTTAGGTATTGAGCACAAATTTTAAAATGTATGAAACATGAACTGTTTTAAGTGAGGTACAGTACACTGTGGAGGGTGAAATGCAAATTTATAAAATGAAAGTAAAAACATCAGCTTTATTAGGAAGGAAATCTTGAGAAACAAGGCATGAGATGGGCAAAAATAAATTGACTTTATGTCATGGGGATGGACATAGAGCTAGTAAGGCCACTAGGCATGGGAGACTCGCCCGCAGAGAAGAGAAAGGTCCCGTGGCCCCCTCCACTGACTCTTCTGCTTGGGGTGCCAGCACTTTGCACCCCACACGTGTAGTATATTGACTTCGCCATCTGCTGATCCCCAGCAAAAGCATGGGAGTTTAAGATGACTTTATACCTTTGTGGAAATGACTGGGCTGTGTCAGGATGAGTACTCTGGTGTTCCGCTTAAGGGAAGAATTTTAAGTCTGAAAAAGATCTAAGAGCCACTTGCCTGAGGTCACAGTCATTACACAGACAGATCTAGGATGAGGATCTAGCTCCTGTGCCTCCAACTTAGATGCTTCCTACAGATAATCCTTCAGCGTGAGCATGGTCCACAATTAGCAGGAGTGGGAAAGATCATGCAGAACAGAGCACGGATCCTGAATGAAGTCGTGTCCATGAATAACACATTTTAGAATTCACTCTCTCAAGCCACTTTACCACTTTTAGACTGTAAGTTTAATATCTAATAAAATAGGAAGCATGTTGCCCAAACATCAAACTCTTAGTATTCAACATCCACAACTTTTTCAGCACAGCAGTCAGACTCTGCATAGCCATGGCAACCAGGTACCCAGGAAGCTCCTTAACCTGAGGGGTCCAGCCTCCAATCACGTAAAGTTTATTATTGACGGTCACTACAGCATGGCACGCCAACGGTAGTGGAAGGGGAGACACCCTTTTCCAACTGTCCCGTTCTACGGAATACTTGTCAACACAGTTTGTAATAAGATACTGGCTTTTAATTTTCGTCTGTCCTCCTATCACATAGAGGTCGTTATGAACACTGCCCAGAGCATAGAGCTCTCGGAATTCAGTTGTGCATAATTTTTCCCAGAACTGGTTTCCTCTGTCATGATACCTGCAAATTAATAGAGAAAGAGCCTAGGATTAGAGTCAATGTGGAAACACATTTCTCTTCCAACTAAAAACATAATTTGGTTCTTTTCATTCGAGAGGAAAAACATTAACAAAAGATAGGGTTACAGGCTTGTAGGTTGTTTTATATATTTACAGGGACTAATGAGCTAAATGTAATATGCATAGAAACAAACATATCTGCAGAATTTTAGGGAGAGTTTATTGGAAAAGTATAGATCATCCAGGACTCGACTTCATTTCCTAGTTCTAGAAGAGAAAATCAAGATTAGGAAAGTCTCTCATACAATAGCTTCTTATTCTGTGGAGTAGAAGTCTCACTTTAATACTAAAGAAGTTGGTTTTAGAGCAGAGACTTCTAAGGGATGATATGGGATAGGTAGAATTTAACAATTGTTCTTACATTTCTAAATGGCTCAGAACAGAGTCAAGAGTACCTATAGGTATAAAAGCCCATCTACAGGTGTCTGTAAGCATTAGCAGCTATTTCAGTCTACCAGCTTCCATGAGTAATTATGTCGGTTTGAAAAGAGGATTGGGAGGGAGGGAGGGACATAGGCTAGACCCCTTAATATCTTTAGAGTACAGCAGACCGACTGTCTCTGTGTGTGAATTACTGAGCATGTGAGCTTGACTATGCTTATGTCTCTTGATAATGGTTAAGTCTACTTTGGCCAACTCCTAAATTCTTCTCCAGAGATTACTCTTCACTTCAGGCTTGACAGGGAAGTTGGATGTTCCTTTTCTAGAGGGCATATCTGGCTTGTCACAAACTGGATGCAGTTATTTATTAAATTTTACAACTGTCTTCTAGTTAATTCTAGGTGGGAAATCAAAGTTCTTAGAATCAGCAGTGCTATTTTCACCACTATTTTTAACTGGACTGTTTTAAAAAAGAAAGGAGAGTCAGGCATGCATGTGTGGGAAGCCGCTGAAGTACTGCCAGTAAATGATTATAAAAATAGAACTAAAAACATGGATTTGGTTTTCTGAGACATAATATAAGAAAGTCAACAAGAACAAAATATATCCCGTACTGGTTAGGAAGTACAGGTTTGTGGATGACTTTTAATCTGATTTTTTGTTTTAACATTTTGAGTTTAAATATGCAGAGAAAATGCCCAGAGAAAACCATACAACTTATTGTTAGGAAAAATGTATATGACATAAAGAACAATGACAACGGCGTTCCAAGTTCACGGCAGTTGACAGTTTTAAGGTAGCACTCATATCCTCAGCAGCCTGTAAGCAAAGTACGGGAGCTAGAAAGGTGTATCTTTTTTTTTTTTTTTAAACAAATGACCTACTAAAGTACTTGTTTATTGCTTCTTTTAAATGAAGAAGACATATATCTGCATGGGAATTTAGAAGAGCATCTGAGCAAAGATAAAAGAGACAAGAAACAGAAATAAGATAGTAGGACTAGGCCCTCCCTGGTGGCGCAGCGGGTTAAAGCACTGCACTAAGAAGCTAAAGCCACTTCCACATGAGTTCGATCCCCAACTGCCCCGGAGGTGACCCACATGGCGGGGCAGACCTGACCCGCCTGCTGCTCCCCTCAGCAGTGTACTTCGTCGATCTGCCTGTTCTGCTCCCCACTCTGTCTCTGGTGAATCCTCTCACTGTCCCTGCACCTCTGGCCTGCACCCTGGCTCTGTATGAATAAATAAATAAATCTTTAAAAAAAAAATAGAAAAGATAGTAAGACTATACCACCTGATAATGTATAGCACACTTTCACAGGGCTGGCACTAAAGTAATGTTCAGTGGCACTACAAGACCTTAATTGTTAGACACCTGTTGGAAGTCTCGTTTCAGCCCAAAGACATGTTCTGTACAACGTTCTGTACCGGAGACTTCGAGGATAATTTTATCATTTATCTTGCTGCATTTTTTTCATGGCTGGAGATCATGGGAAGGGCAAATGATTCTTGTACCCTAATTCTGACTCATGTGGATTAGCAGGCTGAGGGGAAGAGAGGGAACCATGTGGTAGACAGCAAAGCTGGCTTTCAGGAAAAGGTCAGGAAGAGAGATGCTTGTGGGCGCAAACAGGAGGGTACTCTGACAGGGCAGACATGTGTTAAAATCAAATTCTGATGGTAGAATGGAGGACTGCCTTCACAAGGAAGAACAGTTAATTAAAAAACCCAAGGTTCCTGTACAAGGGGGTCTAAGACGGAAAGACGGGCAGCCAACCAACCAAGCACAAGTGTACAACAGGCAGTGTGGGCCTCGGAGAGCCGAGTCAGGAGGCCGGGGCTCCTCCTCCTGCGGGGAGGACCTCTAGCTCTCCAGCTGCCACTCAGCAAGGTGCTGGCCACCGGCGCCTGTTTGGACCACATTCCCCTCCCACCCCACAATACTGGGGTACATGTGTGAAAAGAGGGCAGGCCTACAGCTATAAGTAGAAGTAGGCCCCTCCTTTGCTTTATCTTCACTGTGGAGAAGAGTTACTTTCTGACTGGAAAAGTCTGAACCAACCCTGTCAGGAGGGAACTGAGATACTGAAGGAGAGCTATTTCAAGATTGAAGCATTCTAAGACCATGCTATTTTACACTATTGGAGGTTTAGGACATTGCTGCAAATTAAGGATACAGAATGAAAATGGATAACTAGCAAATTTTTATCAAGGAAAAAACTACTTTGTCAAAACACATCCTTAAAATATTCTTCTTGTTAAAAGTTATATCAAACTCTTTGAAAGCAAAGCAGTGTAGTATTGAGCTTTATCATATGAGTAAATAATGAAAACTAAGAATGAAAATGCACAGTGGAATCAAAACTCATGTATACTTATGTAAATTCAACTGTATGTTCTGAACAACTAAAGAGAGAGAAAAACAAGTTTGAAATTATTTACTATGAATTTCTCATGCACACTACTCTATACTTATAAATTCATTATAAATTTCTCACATATGCTGTAGTAACAATACACTTAGGGTCTTCTAAACATGTATACACAAGCTCGTATTCTGTGTACCTTTTGTGCGGGAGACTGACAGGGTATAACTTTGATTATATGCAATCTAAGGTTTGGCCATTCTTTCAGCTACACTTTCTTCTACTGTTGCTAATGTCAAAGCAAGATAATTCAGACACATTTAGAAATACAGATACAAACCTGTAGACTTCAACATTCCTATTCTTTTGTCTCGAGAGTTTAGCGGCACTTGCCTCCCCTGCCACAATGATCGTGTTGTTTTCCATGACAACACCAGTGCACACGGTTCCTAAGCCCTCCCCATACTTGGGAGAGGAGATGAAGTAGGTCTTCCGCAATGCGGGATCATAACAGAAACTGGCTTCCCCATAGTTCCTGCGTCTTGACCTGATTCCTGAGGAGTTATTGCCAATGCAAAGCAGAAGACTAGTAGTCTCCATGCCATAACGGAGATTCAGGCGGTGCTGCTGGGGTGTCTTGATGGCTTTGAAAGCATTCTGAATTATGTCGATGCAATCTGCATTACATAGAAGCATTGTGTTCCTTTTTAGGGCTTGTCTCAAAAAAGAAGGATTCACAAGTTCCAATCTGACTTGCTTCAGAAGCTCGGCAAGATGCTCTGCGCGCAATTCTTGATTGTGATTGACCCACCGCAGGACTAAGTCCAAGATGCTCTCCTCTCTGGATATGTTAAGGTCATCTGATTTAATAAGTGTCATAAATTGGTGCACTTCAATGTCCAGTATTTCTTCATGCAAGCTCACCTCAGCAAAGTGCTGATATAAATATTTCTTTGATTGATCGCATAAATCTTCAGCTCCAATCTGCTTTGCAAAATGATAGATCCCTACACAGTTGGAAGCATCCATATGGTCCATCATGTATTTCTGACACACACTGAAGACGTCTTCCATCTGCATAAAATAGGCAGCCATGGCCACCGTCTGCACATTGGTGTTGCTGATCTCCAGAGCTGCACTGTACATGTAATTTAGTATCACGGCCACACTTTCTGCTGTGATGTCATAGAGGATGACTTCCCTCTGAGTGCACTCGAGTAGTCCACAGGTGAACATCGCTTTGAAGTACGGACTAAATGCAGCCAGAACCAGTCTGTGGCAAGGAAATTTCTCCCCTTCTGCTATGAGTACCACGTCAATCATTTCTGCTAATTCTTTCATGTTCTTAATTTTTTGGAGTAAATTCAAGCTATGTTGGTATTTTTCTTTCCCCTCAATCTTGCACTCCATGATACTGTCTCCAGAGTTTCTCAATAAGTCTTTCCGAAGTTTAGCTTGATTCCTGAAGGGTTATTTCAACATCCGATGACTCACAAAGCAGTAGAGATGTCACAGAAAAGTCCTGGGAGGAAGATAAGAAGCAGTTGTCTTCTAAGAAAAAACTCTATCATTTAACTAGACAGCACTATTTTTTTTCACTTTTTTTTTATTTTATAACAGTTTATTTTGACATCATTTTGTACATTTTTTTTCCATCTCAATTGTAATCCCCGCGGGTTTCCCATCACCATGTCACCCGTGTGCCATCACCATAATCCCGTGCATTTCCCTCCCCACCCCCCCGTTTTTGATCCCATTCCCCACTCCACCCCCACAAAATGTCTTTGGTATATGGTTGTTCATTATTTTTGTTATTTTCTCGCCTGGTCCATTATACTCCTGCTATGAGTGAAACCATCTGGTATTTTTCTTTCTCTTTCTGGCTTATCTCACTAAGCATGATCTTTTCCAGCTCCATCCAAGTTGCTGCAAAAGACATGTGTTTCTCTTTTTTGGTTGCTGAGTAATATTCCATTGCATGTATGTACCACATCTTTTTAATCCAGTCATCTACTTTTGGGCACTTGGGCTGCTTCCATGTTTTTCCAATTATAAATAAAGCAGCAATAAACATGGGGGTGCAGGTATCTTTTTCAATCAGTGTTTTTGTATCTTTTGGGTAGATACTTAGGAGTGGGATTGCTGGGTTGTAGGGAAGCTCCATGTTTAGCAGTTTGAGGAACCTCCAAACAGTTTTCCATAGTGGTTGTACTAAGTTGCATTCCCACCAGCAGCTAGACAGCACTATTTTTAAGAAACATTTAAAAAATACATCTTATTCACTCCAAACAGAGTAGTTGGATTTTTTCTCTTATATGTGCTTAACTTCAGTCTACTTTTGTTTCTAAAGATGTTGCTGATTGTATAAACAGTAAATTACTAACTACTGACGTTTTTCTGTCCCGCAGCAGAGATTTCTCCAGGAGAGCTGAAAAGTCCTCCCTCCCAGGGTGAATGAAGAGGGAAGTGGCAAGATGGGCACAAGCGGGAAGCCCACTGCCAGTAATGAGGCACACAAGGCCCATTGGCAGAGGCTGTGGGGTGCTGAACAATCTTCTCTCTGGGGAGGTGCAATGTCACCCCAAAGGTATGTGTGCCTCCACAGAAATCATGGTGGGGACAGTGTAAGATGGTTGAGGAAAAAATTCTGTATCCACTTTCCTGAGGGACAATACTCCAAGACAGGGAGTATCCTGATGACGGCTTGGGAAAGCTCCACCCAGTCAGCCGCTTGGAGAATCACATGTGCAGCCAAACACACCAAGACTTGCTAAGCTTAGCAAGCATGCGACAGTCATCCCTGTTTCTTTCCTCCCTCCTCACTCAGCTTCTTTTGGTTCCCTGTTTCCTAGTGGCAGAGACTGAAGCACTTCTCACTTGGAAAAGTCTAATTAAAAGTCTGTTTCAGCTAGCTGTCTCAGCTTCCCTTTCTCTTGGGAGGTGGAAGGAAGGTTCAAGGAAGCTAATTAGCTGGTGTGATTTAAAGAAGGACATTCCTACAATCAGAGACCTTAACGTGATGAGCGACTGCCCTCCTTTCTAGTTTGACTTGGCTCTATGTTGCATGCAATTAGAATAATTCTGGTAGAAAAGTCAGTGTTGGGAATTTAGAGAGCAGGGGAGGTGATAATCTCAGTAATGTGAAAGCAAAATTTATTAGCCATCTTTATGGCTTTTAGACCTTCTCTAAGTTTCTGTTGTAATCCTGGAAAGGATCAGAAATCTACTGTCTTAAGGAGACACGGCACTTTTTTCAGCGTGGAGTTCAAGTTCATTTTAGGAAACAAGTGTTAAGCACGGTAAGAATGTTTAATTATATAACGGCAACTATAAAACCTAGAAAACATGCTGAAATGTGTGGAATCATGACGAGTAGCTGACCTTAGAATCTGTATACTTGGAATCAGATGAAACCCTCCTTGCTGCATTTTATGGCATTAATGGCTCGGTTTTATTTCAATAAAAGCTTGAGACTATCTTTGCAAGGACTTGTGAGCCATTGCCTTTTGCTTTTATTTGCTTTAGATTTCTTACAAAGGGAATCCAATTATAGGTAATTGAGAGGTCATTATATTTCTGAACTTCTTTACAACACATTTTGACTAGTCTAAATCACATTATGTAGGCTTCTTTATACATAAACACATCAATCAACTTTATAGATGACAGCTGTTACTTTGAGCTGAGAAGCATACAAACTTTCTTATAAGGAAGAATGTATAAAAAAGGTCTATTATTCCATTTGTACTGATAACAAGAATTCCTTAAAGAATACCGTGCTTTCAACGCTAGAGGCCAAACTAACTCAAGACCTAACAATATATAATCTGTGTTGCACAAATTGATTCTGCCCGTTAAGCACAGAAGGAACCATGGATAGCTGTAGACACATGAGTGTGGACAGGAAATGTCCACATAATGTTCTATAACAAAATGTTCTATGGATACTGGAACCCGAATTTTCCTATATTTTCACATGCCATCAAGTAGTGCTTTTCTTTTTTTTTTTTTTTGGAAGATTTATTTATTTCTGCATACAGAGCTGGGGGACAGGCCAGAGGTGCAGGGGCGGTGAGCGGCTTCACCAGAGACAGAGTGGGGAGCAGAACAGGCATATCGACGAAGTACACTGCTGAGGGGAGCAGCGGGTGTCAAGAGAGGTCTGCGGCGCCATGTGGGTCACCTCAGGGTGGAGATTCAACTCATGCTAAAGTGGCTTTAGCTTCTCAGTGCTGTGCTTTCACCCACTGCGCCACGAGGGAGGGCCCTTCTTTTGGGTTTTAAAAGCCACTGAAAATTATAAAGTTCATTCTCGCTTATGGGATATACTATGACAGGCAGCAAGTGGCCAACTCTTGCCCTGTGATATAAATAAACACCATTTTCTAGATTAGCAGTGGAATGACCATGTCTGGGAGCTGAATCTCTATTTATTTAAATTCAGGAGAAGGGTTTTGAGGAAGGGAAGGGTCAGATTCTTTTTTTTAAAAGATGATTTAGTTGTCCACAGGGTTCCCAAATATGAATCCATTTTTTGAATAAATATTTTACTTGGATGCAGTTTCTCTGCTCTGAACTTTGACTTCCACAACAATAAAAATACCTTCAAAACAGAAATAACTGTTTCAGACATTCTGAAGAAATATTTATGGATTTAATGGACACATATACTTATTAAGTATCTCTTCCTTCCAATTACCTTTTATAGAATTCCTGAAAAGCTACTCTAATTGCTATGAATTCAGACCAAATAAGGCTGCTGGTGGAAATACTGAGAAATACCCAGGCAGTTAAATTAGTCATCATACTTAAAAAAAAAATTCTCAGCATTGTTTCTTGTCTATACAAGATAGAGAAGAACTGGATTTGCAGATGATGGCTTGAAGCGAGAGAGGCCTGGGTTAGAATCTCAGGTTAACCAGTTACTTACTGAAATCTTAAAATGATTTAACATTTCTAAATCTTGATTCCCTCTCTTGGGGATAAGGTATATGAATAAAGTAATCAGGTCAGTCCTTGGCATGTAAGGGCTCATTACATGGAGATTACTGTTAGTTTCCACTGGTGTAGCTAGTGTTGCTCAGAAGGTAGAGGCCTGGACCTGCACCAGTGTTCACTATCTAGAAACACAAGTGAGTTTCTTAGCTAATTTCAGTTTTCTCAGTTGGGACTGATTCTGAGAATTAGGTAATATTGGGGTGCATTACATAGGCCATACATGTACAGTGTTTGGGTGCATGTGTGAACTGCCTGTGGGTGCAGTAAAACAGAGCTGACAGTAACTTCCTCCTTGTAGTGAGACGACAGGGGACGTTCTTCTCTGACCAGCGAGACAAAATTGTACCAGTGTTCTCATCGATATCCATGGGAAGTTATTCTCTACTCCCATTTACGGAAGGCTGATTTGGTGCATTTATATTAATAGTGCCCATAATAATGGAGAAAAGAGTAGCAAAGATAAGTAAAAAAGCACAAGAAGAGAGCCTAATTATTTTGCAGACAGATCCAGCATGCAGTTATACCCATGTCAGTTACGTTTAGTTTGGAGAAACGGACTGCTGTAAATTTTAATGTGGCACGAAAATGTCAATTTCCTTACACTGCCTATGTTTTGGCTTTGCATTGTTTGATTTTATAATCTTTCCATTATGTTGAAAGTTGTTTTTTCCTAAATACTGATTGATACCTGATCATGTCTTCATTTCTTTGAAAAGTTTCCATATTTGAAAGTTTAAATTCATAGCAGGATTGTTTGAAATAGAATTTGGAAATAACCCCCAAATCCATTAACAGACAGATTTCAATTCATTCACTCAAGAGGATCATGTATAAATATAAAAATACAAATGAATTAGAATTACAAGTATCATGGATGAATTTCGAACAATAAGGTGTGAAAAAGACTGTAAAAAAGATTCATACCACTAATAACATGTTTTAAACAATGTATGTATTCAAATAGCTATCAGTGATATGATATAGTACACAAACAAATGACGATACGGTAAAAGGTACATGAGATTTTTTTCTTTTTAAATACTATACTTGGAATTTTCTGTAAGCTTGAAATCATATAAAACTAAAGTTAAAAATGTATATATTCCTGGGCCCTCCCTGGCGGCACAATGGGTTAAAGTGCAGCACTACGAAGCTAGTCCAACCACTACAGTGTGAGTTCAATCCCCGGCCAGGGAGGTGACCCACAGGGCCCAGCAGACTTCTCCTGACCCTCCCGCTGCTCCCCTCAGCAGTGTACTTCGTTGATCTACCTGTTCTGCTCCCCACTCTGTCTCTGGTGAATCCTCTCACCACCCCTGCACCTCTGGCCTGTACCCCAGTTCTGTATGCATAAGTAATTTTTTTTTTTAAAATTATATATTCCGGGCCCTCCCTGGTGGCTCAGTGGGTAAATGCAGCACTAAGAAGCTAAAGCCACTTCAACATGAGTTCAATCCCTGGCCCTGGAGGTGACCCATATGGTGCGGCAGACCTCTCCTGACCTGCCCGCTGCTCCCCTCAGCAGTGCACTTCATCGATCTGTCTGTTCGGCTCCCCACTATGTCCCTGGTGAATCCTCTCACCTTCCACATCTCTGGCCTGTACCCCAGTTCTGTATGAATAAATAAATAAATCTTAAAAAAATTATATATTCCTTAATATATACAATGATAATGGAATATAAAGAAATGCAGGGTAATCATCAAGTTTAGGATAGTGTTTGTCCTAGGAGGCAGGAAAGGTGACAAGGAGTCACCTGCATAATTAATATTTAACTTCACCAGCTACGTGGTGGATACCTAATATATACGTTATGACCTTTATGCCTTTTTGCTTGTTTAAACATTGCATAAACTACATTTAAAATGAAAAACTATCTTACCAATGATAGAACTATATATGAGGGAGGGTGAGAGAGAAGGCGCAGATACATCATGGATTTTCCTTTTAACCTGTCAAAGTATAGGCAGTAATTGGAAAATACAAAAGCCTACAACCTACTTACCCAGACTGAATGATTTGAGAACTGTGGCTTGTCGCCCTCCCTCCTCCTCATTTTCCTCGGCGTTCGTCTGTAAGAGGAGGAAGGGTGAAATGATTCCTACTTCTGCTTTGATGAGAAAAGAAGTCACTGGTCTCACAGACTTCATGAGAGAAGTTACTGATTTAGTGGCTATTTTTTTCCCTGTAGAAATGTTCAGGAGGGTTAGTAATTTAGTCATAACATGAAATGATAGAGTCGACAGATGACTTAAATTTCATTGATGAAAAAACTGAAGGCTGAGAAGTGACTTGGCTGGGGTGCTGAAATTCAGTCTGCCTAAAACTCTTCAACCGACTGGCTGGCACGCTAGGGAAGGTCAGATTGTGATACCAGAAAATAATGTTCTCGTTTCAATGTTAAAACAGAACCCTTATGTAAGTTGGTAACAAGCATGTATAAGGTCACTGCCCCACAATAGAAAGAAATCATCCCTGGCCTATTCTCATCCACCCTACGCCTCCTGGGCACGACCAGGCCCTTCACAACTGGCACCTGCCAATCTTTCTTCCTCACCTCCTGACTTCCCTACCTCCTGACTTCCCTTCCTTGCATTTTTCAGCCTTTTTTTTAAAGATTTATTTATTTATGCATACAGAACTGGGGTACAGGCCACAGGTACAAGGATGGCGAGAGGCTTCACCAGAGACAGAGTGGGGAGCAGAACAGGCGGATGGACAAAGCACACTGCTGAGGGAAGCAGCGGGCGGGTCAGGAGAGGTCTGCCGCGCCATGTGGTCACCTCCGGGGCAGTTGGGGATTGAACTCATGCTGAAGTGGCTTTAGCTTCTTAGTGCTGCCCTTTAACCTGCTGTGTCACTAGGGAGGGCTGCATTTTTCAGCCTTTTAATAGTGCTGAGTCATGAACAATTCTGATGCCTTTATACATATTGTTCTCTAGATCTGGGAGATCCTCCTCCCATTTCTACCTAAACTACAACTATTTCTTCACACTTCAGCTCAGACTTTACTTCCTTCACGAGTCTTCCTGCCCTTTCTAGCTTGTATCTTGAACACAGGGCTGTGAACTGTTGTTACTGCAATTTACTTGTGCAAATACATCCCTCCCTCTCCCCCCTTCACTGATGAGCACACTGAGGGCAGAGAATCATGGGCAGGGAGTCACCTCTCAACCACTCCTGGATCCAAACATTTGTCTATGATGACCCCTGCCACATGAGATTTGCGTATGGTTTGTGCAATTAAGGCAATGCTCGGTTCTAACTTAAAGTTCATAACCTGTTTTCCCCTTTAAGTTTTCATACATGTTAACAAAACCACTATCTTGAAGGATTTTCCCTATCTATAAAAGTTGGGCTTGATGCTTCAAGTGTCATCCTTTGGTCCAAATCAATCACCAAGAGCCATTAATCTGATTTCTTTGTCCCCAGCAGATGAACTGGGACACCTACTTCTCCCTCCTACCCTTCAAATTAATTCCTATCCTCCATGTGCTCTCAATCGGTCTCCGTTCCTAGAGAACACCCAAAGCCAGAGATCACAGATGGGCTCTCAGACTTTGTGAGAGAGTGTGTGGATAAATTTTAGTGCCCTGTAGGCAAAGCTGAAATATTCCAGCTTTTTATCTTCTATCTACTGAAGATAGAGTCACAGTGGATCCTTAACTCGGTGGTGACAGCAGCGTGCAGCCGAGGCCTCTCAGATGGGCATCTACTCTGGACTCCCCAATCCCTGGTCCACCACTGAGACCTGACTGGCAGTCTTTTCTCACCCTGTCCCTTGAGTTATCTTAGGTGTGTAGGTTTGGGATCCCAAACCCTGTTTAGTTTTAGCATCACCAGCTTGCATAGACACAGGTAGGAAATGACTAAGAACCTCTGCCTCAATGCACTGGAGGTCTCCCCTGGTAGAATGGAAAAACAGCTTCACTTAAAAGCAATAATCCACCCCATGGCGTTTAATAAGGGTCAAATGGATGATGCAGCGAAATAAGACACCTTTCCTTTGAGGAGCTGACAATGTTTTGCATTCTCACCATGCTTAAACTTTCCAAAGTGCTTTAATATGCACTATAGCTCATTAGTTCCTCTTAAGAATCACGCAGGGAAGAAATGCAGGGCCATTACAGTCCTCCCTTTCCGATGATGAAGAGAGTTGCCCAGGGAGACACTAGGTGTTTACTGAAGCGCTTTTAAAGTGCCGGGCGCTCTCCTGGGTCCCCGGCGGGGCCCAGCCGCAGGCAGCCCTGAGACCCCTACCTTAAGGGCGCTTACAGTCTAGAGAGGGGGCCGGCGCTCGGGTGGCCATTCTGCGAGGGCTCACGCTGCCAAAGTGACCGGGCGGAGGGGACCCCTGACTGGGGAGAGGTGGGCGTGGGGAGCCGGCGTGGGGGAG